CCACATGAGAGGATCGAACCCCTGGCAAAAGTGCAGTCCTCGCAGCAATCAGCTTCCGATATTCATTCCTATCCTACGCCTCCTTGTTCACAAACACCGTCAGAAAGGGGAGGCAAGTTGTCCGATTCGAGTGGCGATTCCGACGCGGCTGCTAGCGGCTCATCGAATCGTTCTTCGATGAACAATAAGAGCGTCACAGATCTCTCGCAGATGAAAGTTCGGAGGGCCACTTTGGCATCCCCCCTTACGAGCATTGTCACTACATCTAGTGTTCTCGCGAGTCACCTCTCTATCCCTAGCGACCGTACCTCTACAACAACACCAAGTTCTCCCTCGGATACCCAACCCCCTACAGGCGATGCTTGCAGTTTTTTCTCTAAGTCCGCTTCGGTTGATCGACTCAAGAAGCTAACTGATGGATCGAAAAAGAGTGGTCCCTCGACACCTACTAGAGCGCTCTCGACTACCCAGCTGTCCCAACCCGAGGAGAGGTCACCCTCAAAGCTTAGCGGAGATGGCTCGGACGCAGGTGGCAGGCAGACACCGGTCTCCTCCGCGAGCGGCGGCGCCGCCGCGCCACCGCAGAGGGGCAAGCTTACTATTAAGATTCTGGAGGCAAGGGGCTTACGAAAGAGTCACGACCCTTACGTCGTTGCCGTATTCCAAAGGAGCGAACTGATCTCTCACGGACCGCGAACATTCGAAGACGAGGACGAATCAGCACCTCAGCCGGTTGCGATGGGCGGTATTCCCATCCAGCGCCAAGGCAGCGACCCCGGTCGTGCGATGGCAATCCCCATGCGCAGTCGCCAGAGCAGTAATACTAGTATTTCCGATTATAATACTTTTCGCAATCGCCCACGACGATCGTTTACATGTCCAAAGTGGGATGCTGAGGCATTATTGTAAGTCTTGTAAGATTGATAGGGTCCCCTGGACACATGGACTAACTTTAGTAGTGATGTTGTTGATAAAGACATGCTAGTGGATATTTCGGTTTACGACCACAGCGCACAGGGAGAAGAGTTCTTAGGTCATGTTGACTTCCAAGCAGCTACTCCCGGAAAGGATGATCCTGTCCGAGGTTGGTTCCCGTTAAGAGGAAATGCCGACACGACACCCGACAAGACACCTACCGGCGAGATATTCGTTGAGGCCATCTACCAGAGAACGGAAAAGAGGCATTACGGCCCGGATGATTTCCAAATTTTACGATTGATTGGGAAAGGTACATTCGGCCAAGTTTATCAAGTGCGAAAGAAGGATACCGGCCGAATATATGCCATGAAGGTCCTGTCGAAGAAGGTCATTGTGCAGAAGAAAGAGGTGGCACATACAGTTGGGGAGCGGAACATCCTAGTCCGGACAGCCATGTCAGAGTCTCCATTCATCGTCGGCTTGAAGTTTTCCTTCCAAACCCAGAATGACCTCTTCCTCGTCACGGATTATATGTCTGGTGGCGAGTTATTCTGGCATTTGCAAAAGGAGGGACGATTTGACGAGAAGCGAGCTAAATTTTACATCGCCGAGCTCATCCTCGCCATACAACATCTTCATAATAACGACATCGTTTACCGCGACTTGAAGCCCGAGAATATTCTACTCGACGCGAATGGCCACATAGCCTTGTGCGACTTTGGTTTGTCCAAAGCAAACTTAACCCAAAACGACACCACCAACACGTTTTGCGGAACTACCGAGTACCTAGCCCCGGAGGTTTTACTGGACGAAGCTGGATACACAAAGATGGTCGACTTTTGGTCCCTAGGCGTCCTCGTATTCGAGATGTGCTGCGGATGGAGTCCCTTCTACGCCGAAGATACGCAGCAGATGTACAAGAACATCGCATTCGGCAAAGTACGATTTCCGCGAGACACACTTTCGCAGGAAGGCAGAAACTTTGTGAAGGGCTTACTTAACAGGAACCCGAAACATCGACTAGGTGCCATGGATGACGCAGAAGAATTAAAGCGCCATCCGTTCTTTGGTGATGTGGACTGGGATCTCTTGGCCAAGAAACTCATAACCCCGCCTTTCAAGCCTAAGTTGAAGTCCGAGACAGACGTCTCTTACTTTGACCCGGAGTTCACAAATGCACTAAACACAAATGGATCTTTGAACGAGCGTGCGCAGCAGTTATCCACGGGCTTTGCCACGTCAACTCCCCTTTCTCCGACCACGCAGGCGAATTTCCAAGGCTTCACGTTTGTCGACGAGAGCGCACTGGACGATCATATGCAAGGAAGGTACATTGATGAGGATATGGATGATGTGGATCGCCGAGATAACGACTGGGACGACCTAGATGACATCGATCTCCGAAAATCAAACAGGATGAGTGGAATCGTAAAGACGGGCAATAACGATGAACCGTTTGGTGAATCCCACTTCGACATATGACACGGACTTTTCTTTTTTCTTTTTTTACTGGATTGTTACGACACGAGGATACCTGACCCGCTTGTTCTTGGCATCTAGAGCGGATTCGTCTATTACTCTTAAAATTCTCTCCATGGCATCATGCATAGGGCGGCATTCTGCATGAGTCGGCGGTTGGCAGAGGTTACTTAGTCACTACGGAGTGGTAGGGCGTTTGGCATTTGCAAATAGTCTGGAATCATGGCACATACGTACACGAAATCGCGGAATAGTTTCGGAAATACTCAACTAAAATCACCAATTCAGGTCGTGAGGGACCAGTACAGATCGCGCTATGATCCTACTCCTTTGTCACTTCAGTTTGGAATCTTTGCGGGCTTGGATGCCGGCTATAGGGTTGATAGTGATGCGATGCATTTGCTATTGTTGAGCAGCTTGGCATTTATACGCCAAATACTCATGACAATGCCAAACGCAGGAGGGATCGGTAGTTGTGGCTTGGTTGCTTGGTATGACAGGTGGCTACTAGTATGCTAACGATGCTTTTGCCGAAGCGAGCGAGCTGTGTGGGCGTTTGATTTAAGCTGAGTTCTTGCTATTTGTTTGCTGCCCCTTTGTGGGCTCTAATGATGAGCCTGAGAGGCACGTAAGCAGGGTTGGAATGCAGATAAAACGCACACGAGTACATAGCGTACTAATTTGAAAGGGTGACTCCCAATGAGGAGTATGAGACCAAAAGTCAATTGAAACTACTTAGGTTGCTTATGATAATTAATTCAAGTCGCGACATGATTTCGCCCATTATTCATTATTCTTAGTAAACGCGTGGACCTGGACCTATTGTACGTTGTATTGCTGAGGGAATGCTCGTCTCATCAGACCCTACCCAAGCCGTTACATTCGGATACATATAAGATTGTAAACCGTGGAACTTTGTGTAGGACGAGTCTGACAAGTCTCCATTGAATCACCACGCCCTCCCCCCTTTTGTCTGCATGCGGTCATGATTCCAATTTCCCCTCTTCCCGCCGAGACATGATATCAACCAAACTCGGTAGGATCACGTCAAAGATGCGGTATTGGGTATAAAAAGATACTCGCGTATGAACTAGGAATATGCGAGCCGAGTTTTGCATCATGGTACACCTATAGGGAAGAAATATTCCTATCCAAGGAAACACAACACAACACAACGCGGGTAGTACGACTTTTGATAAGGGGGGAGGGGTGTGGTATAGTATGGACTGGTATGGTATGTATAAGCTGATCGTGATGTCCACCTACCTACCTACCTACCTACCTATCTACCCATACCCTCTCTTTTTCGCGGGTTTAATTGTACGCTGCTGATACATATGTAACGAGGTTTATATGTAGTAGAGCTAGCTCGTCATGATGAAGTAAGAGGAAGGATTAACGTTGAGAACGAGAGGGGGGCACGAGAGAAAATGTCGAATAGGAGAGGAGAGTTATATAAACACGGGCAGCGCTAGAAAACGGCACGTACGACCATAGGATCCGGAGAATTCGGGATCCCGTCCGCTCTCCCCTTTAGACAAGCCGGATACCGCCAGATTAGTAGTTGGGTCGGTGACGACCAGCGAATCCCTGGTGTTGTACGTCTCTCTTTTTTGGGGGGTGGTTCTCTTCCTTTTTGCCTCCCTCGTCTATTGTGGAAGCGGCCGGGTATTCGGGTCGCCGTCTGGGGCTGGCTGTACCTAGAGGGTTGCTCGAGGGTTGCTAAACTTCACCGTTGGCTCGTCGATCAGAGGAGATCGGGCCCGGATTTGGTGGTGCTACCTATCTACCTACATACCTACGTGCTGGATGGGCGACAGTGTGAGGATATCGTGTGAATACCCTCATGTAGGGTGTTGAAGATTACAGGCTCGTTTACTTAGTCGGGACGCTTGCCGATGTGATGTTACTGTACTGGTTGAGGGGACGTTACTCCTGAGTATATTCGTCCCGTATCTCGTCAGATGGAGAGATTGATAAAACTACGAAGCCTCTACTTGATCCCGTTCTAACTAGACCAGGTAAGTAGGTGAATGCATACTAACCTACATATACAGCTATAATCTATCATCGAGGTTCTACCTACCTGCCAAGTGCTCTATCCACTCGTACAACACATAGCTACGTATCTTCTCAGGAGCGGACGAAGGATAGTCTAGACGCCGAGGAGACAGGAATTTGCGTAGAACATGTCAACGTGTGATAGACCTATACTGGAATTTTATTCTATAAATCTAACGTCGGGGAATATTCATGGATTATCAAGGTATCCCCGGATATTTGACGACGACTAAACATAAGACACGAACGGGATGACGCTCGTTCAATGAAGTATTTTTATCAAAACTGTCTCTAGTAAGATTTAAGAGTCTGGATATATATCGGTCATGACGCTCACAACAGAGCGAGTCATAGATTTAACATCAAGCACGAGACTCGTCTGAATAGGGGCATATGAACATGAACACCGTTTAACTAACTTAAATAGTAGGGACGGTAGAGACGACAATATTCTACTCACCTTACGAGCCGAAGCAGACTTGACTCGACACAACGACTGGCGATTAGAACGTATACAACTTTACTGCGAAAGGATATCATGATAAGTGTAAGCTCTTCGATGACGAAGGATCTATTTGTGATTTTGGCACCAGCGATCCTAGGAATAAATGTACATGGACGACGTTAGGGATCTCTCTTCTCTACCACCTCTTAGACGACTTAACATAACACTGGAGTATGTGTAATACGCCTCGCTTTCTCTCTTCTGTCTTCCTCATCCTCCCGGTATAACTTTTTCCTCTCGGCTCAGCCTCTCCTCTCGCGTAGGTAGGTAATTAAGTCTCTCGGTACGAATCTAATGGTGAGCAGCAGCGCCCTCCTCGTCTTCTTCCTCATCGACCAGCCAGTCCTCGACGACGGCGGGTGTCGACGAGTTGGCAGCGCCCTCGTTACCTTCGACCTCGACAGCCATGTTCTCGTACTCCTTCAGGCTGCTGGCTAAGTCGGCCTCCTCGGGCGACTTGGGGGGCTTGGGTAGTGTGAAGTTCTGGACCTGGCCGGCGGCGTCAGAGTCCTTGACGGGCGGTGGCTTGTAGGCCTTGAGTTCCTTGAGGTAGAGCTCCTGGACGAAGTCGGCTGCGGGCTCATGTTAGTATAGATCGTTGGAATATTCGAGAATTGGCCATGTGGTGGTATGTATTCCGAGTTGCGAAAGAGAAGAATTATGCTACTTAGATATATCGCAACCGTATGTCGAGTTGAGTTGGTGGTGGGGGTGCGAGCTGTTCAACTGGATAATAATATCTCATCCCGCATCCCGCCGTACGCCTCCAACTCTACCATTCCGGTCCCGGTCATATCCCAGCATAGCGCACTTCTCCAATTGTCTCCAGAATCCACTTGGTATATGATCTGATAAATAAACTTTCGAGTCTTACCTCGTCGCGAAACGGTAGGGGCGATGAATCCTCTAACGGCGTTTACCCTCGCCACGCGGGTGATAGCCGAAGCGGCCGACCGAGCAGTCTAAGCGTTAAAAAAAAAAGATACCAAGTTAGTGAATAGCTCCTCAATGACGATATTCGTCTAGGTATTAATTAAAATAGAATATGCAAAATAGGTACTTACCGAAACCCTTAATTGCACGAGCATGATGTCCGTCTGTTTATGGGGATTGCTCAATTGACGATATGTGAGTGGTGAGTGGTGGTTGGTGGTATGATCGTGGAGAGAGAGAAAGAGGGCGAGAGTTGCGATTGAGGTTTTTCCTTCGCCGTTGCATTTCGTCCTTCGATTTCTTAGCGCCGAAGTGGCTAAAGGTGGAGTATCAGAGCTTCCGATTGGTTAATCACGTGATTCCATCTACCATTCAGCCATTCCCGCTACTAACATCCCACTACGACTTACATAACAGACTTACATAACGGACTTGTATAATAAAATAATAGCCTTCAATTCTTCCTCCAACTATTCTAACTTGTTAACAACTTAACCTTCATGTCTTCAACTCAATCTTATACGAAAATGTCATTAAGAAATATCATCAAGAAATATCATTAGATCGTATTAAATAACATAAATCGTATCAACCCGGTCTAACAGGTACTCTCCAGCGTCGTTATACAACACTGATCGCTATTATAACGTCTGTTCTTTTATACATATACCAACACCAACCATATCTAACTAAACTCATAAAACCCATCCCATCCCATCCATATTAAAGCGCTATAATGAAATACTCAAGTAGGTATACCCAACAAAACAACCTCCCCAGCAAACCAGAGACAGATCAGGAACTCTTCTGCACATAACCTCCGGTTCGGCGGCGACGCCACTCGCCGAACAGAGCAGCACCCACATATATGCCGAATATAACAACGGCAAAGACAGCGTACACCACCACAAAGGTTCTGGGGGCACCTGCAAGCTCCAGACCGAGCCCGCCGTTGACTATGCCTGTAATTATCAGGGCGCGGCCGTACCAGATATGAGCGTGCGATACGAGACCTCGGGACTGGTGTCTCATAAAGTGCTTATGGTGGAACCAGCCCAGGAGCGGTTGAAACCCCATTAGGCCGACCACGACCGTGCCGAGGATCGTATGTGCCGAATTGAAGTCCTGTCGGGAGAATTAGCTGTGGTCAACTTTCCTTCGTTCGCTCTGGCGGGTGTCTAAGTAAAGTAAAAGGCAAGCAATGTATCGATAGGACTTACAAGTTGAATGCGCTGCAAGGCGACGACACCCAGCCCGAAGCCAGCCCACATTATCAGGAAGGCGAAGAGTTGCCACGCTGCGTGGATTGCCCACTTGCCGAATAGGGGCATGAGCGCCGAACCCAACGGGTACAGGATGATCATGACGACGGCCATGATGATACCGTGACCTAGGATCAAGATGCGTGGATCGGCGAAGCTGCCGCTGCCCACGCCACGGTTGTTGTTATCGAACTGCCTTGCGCCCGCAAACGGGTTCGCGTCGTTAGTCACGGTGGCTGCTGTTAGGTCGAACGCCCACGTGTCGTGCGCGTCGTGGTACCGGATCTGAGCGTCCGGGTTTGCGCTGTTGACGGCGCCGCCTGTCTTCCATGCCGCAATCCAGGGTGCCTCGATATCGTCTAGGCGCATAGAGCCCCCCGGCCATGTACCGCAGTTGCCGCATCTGACGTTGGCGATCATCGTCTGCTCGTTGTTGAAGAGGCCGCTTCCATCGAGGAGCTCTAGCTGTACGATGGAGTTGTATCGTGGCACTGTGATTGATAGGCGTTAGTAATTGCTGCATTAAGGGGGTAGGTATACCCTAAGAGTGATATGTTTTGCCTAGCTAGTTGACGTGTTCTAACTAAGTCCCAAGACGGACTAAAAAGGGGCAGAGCAGGATAGAATGTAAGACCCGATTTTACGTACTGCTATGCCCGGTTCCAGCACGTGCTGATATTGTCACATTACCGTTGCCGTCTTGATACATCACAAAGATGCTCGAATCTGCCATGGCGTCCCCCGTACCGAAGGCCACCCACGAGTATGATACCGGCGCTCGCAGCTGTAGGTATATGTTACCCCCATTTCTGGCAGCGGAAGCCTCCGGTACTGCGACTTGGTAGCATACATCCGCGATTGGGCAGTATTGCACCGGCTCGGAGGAGGCGAGGACGGTATATACGAACGCATCTAGGAAATGTGAAATATGTTAATGACTATATTGTTTCCAGTACGCCATTGTTATAGTTGCAGAGTTTATCCAGTGCACCAACATTGAAGAAGAACGTCAAAATTGAATTGCTGGCTAAGAAAATCAAAGGGGAAAAGGTGGTGGCATGTTAGAGTTGCTGGTGACTGCTGACTTACACAACGCTGCGATGGTTAAAAACGAGGTTCGCGCCATCCCGAAAGCTACCTATCCTCTATGTATTGTCGTATGTATAATCGGTATCAGATTCTATCGAGAGATTTAGCCTTGCGGCAAATTCGTGGTTGGTTTTGCAATATGATAGTTCTAGGAGCAGAGGTGTAGTGTAAAATGCACGGATTTCAACAACTCACCTCCTAGTTATAATTATGCCTCGACTCGTTTCCCGAGTTCTGACTTCGACTTGATATATCCGGGGAGGCCCCCTCTCACGTCCTCGCCTTTAAGCTCCTTTCAAACATTTATATGATGTAACCTGCCTGTGCGCTGACCATGCGGCCCTCGGCCTCGAGACCTTATCGTACTTTAACGTTTTGGAGGGTGTGCTTGACTAAAGTTAAATTCGCCAAGTCCTCGAGACTAAAATGTAAGATATAAATTTATAAAGTGTGTACTGTACTTTTCATATGAACATAAGGGGATGGATGTTGTAGAAGATGTAGAGAGAGCCCTTCCATGGAAGAATATATATTTTATATATTAGGTACTCAAATGGATAGTTCTTGACTTTCTTGGTATATGTGAATCGCAGCGAAAGAAGGACGATCCTATATGATATGTAAATCATTAGTAATGTATGTCTTGCCCGCCGTATACATTGATGCCGTACATGGACCTTGAGCCTACTTCCAAAGTTCATACCTACCTGCCAACCTTACTGTATCCGGGATACGTACATGTCTGCGCATTATCCGTGGCAGCTTGGCATATTCACGATGCAGATGGCGTGAAACCTTTTGTCGTCCGCTACATATGTAGTATCGTCTTGTGCTAAGAGATCAAAGCCTCCGTTGCCTACGTATGCGATCTGAGAGCCCCCCCAATGATCTCGTTTCGTCCTAGACAGAAACAGTAGGCAACTTATGTAGGCTATGCACGCATTCAATGCTGGGGGACCGATGATCTATTTTATTATCACGTTGTAGATCACAGGTAAAAAACCCCTGTTAGCCCCCCGACGAAGCTGCCATATTTATTTGAAGATTCGAATTTGGGGGATACCTAATTGGCGTTCGCTGACGACAGCGTCCTTTACTTGATCCCGGGAGCTACATACATAGAAGACCCGATGCTTGGTGACTTGTTTCGGAGGCAGTGCAACTTGGCGGATTCGGTGCTATATGTAAGTTCCGGTGAAGTGCCCCTTGGTAAGGTAGGGTTTCCGGCAGATGGGGAACCGGGACGCAACCCCAACATTGCCGTTATTAGAATCGCGGAATCGATGATTCGTCAATTGTCTCGGCCGACGTCGAATCAACGCGGCGAGGTGGGGGAAGGATGTTCTGGGGGTGCCTACTATAGTTCTTGGGGAACGTAAGCAGCAGCTTGGCTTATACTTTGATTTACACCTGGCTTTATATTTGGCTGACGGAACTTACTATTGTTTTTAGTTTCGTCCACAGGTGATGATGTATTGTAGATCTTATTCCCACCTTGGCTTGAGAAGGAAGACTGTTTGTTGTATCAATGACTTATATTCTCGTCATTGAGTTACAATTAAGAATTGTTTTCAAGCTATTTATACACAGGGTCTCTTTTGCCATATACAACCACATACGATAATGTTTTCATGCCAGAGCAGGGAAATATGCTGAATCAAACGCTCTGGGCATATGTGTCGTCAGACTACCTATAACCTAAATAATGTCCAGTCCAAGCGATGGTTTATCTAGATGATACGAGATATGACCCTATAACTTCGTGCAAGAGAAAAATATTTTTCACATGTTAAATAAGACAGTATATAACCGCCTATCATTGGATAGCAGTGTCACCATTCTCGACCAACAACGAGGGCCAACCATCTACGCTGACGAGGTAAAGGAATATGTAGACATAGAACTCCTATCTACAACCCCTGACCCCTGACGAACGACGTTGGGCTCATCTACAGATTTGAAAGCTAATCTACCTGACATACAAGGTAAATACATACTATTTGGCTCCTTTCTGTGGGCTTACGGCGGTGTATATGAATTCTAACATATGCCTTGCCTTACGTTTATTGGTGAGATAGATGGAGTGCGTGCTCTGCAAGTTCGTGTATTATAATCAATTTCTATCTGCTTTTTACATAATACTCACCTCCACCTAGGCCATGGTAGTAGCTAATCGTTTATTAGGATAACCAAGAATACTATGGATGTAAACCAGCTTGCTCGACCTTTGGAATCCTCTGTTCAGGCGACTGTAAGGCGGCTTGATTCACTACATACTATAGCGGTGTAATATTCAGGGTTATGCGCTTGCGTGTCTCTTGAATAACTTGAACGAAAACGTTCCCTAACCTAGACTAAACGGTGTTAGTACTATGTAAGAAAGTACCAGGTATAGGCTCCATTTTGATCCGAGTATGTCAATTTGCAACAATTCTTTTCCCGCCGTGGCAGTGTCCTTATTAGTTGCAGCATCACGCGGACCCTGTCACGGATTGTAAGCAAACAATGATCAATTGCTGTCGTCTAATTGAGGCCTCCCCAACGCCATTCCCACTTCGAATTCGTTAACCACCTTTTAGAACTGTGGGACTAAGCCCTCGCTTTCAAAACTCAACTCCTCTATCCTTTCTGTTAGTTGAACAGCATATAAGCCGGCTTCAAATCGCAATCTCTTCTACAATGCCTCCCGCTCTGTTTGCACCGAAGCTATGCATCTTGCTGATGATGCTTATGCTTAGTTGAACATAAACCCGTGATCATCTAGCAGGCTGCTGGAAGCTACATAGCTGAATCCGCCAAAAGGATCTTCCCTTAAGCTATCCTTTGGTGGCATATCATCCAAAGGACACTTGGCCAAGATGGGGCTTAGAGGCAACTCGGTGAACTCGGGAGCAAAATTCTCTGCAAGCTCAGGGTCCGTGATCATTGGCTGGATTGGTGGCTCTATTTCCCTGGCGGCAAGCTTCTTCCAATCGATCTTCCGGAAGAACCTGTGCTTCTTGATGATCAGGAGGTCTTTGGGCATGTTCGAGCCAAGACGCTTCGTAGGATCTTTCTTTAAAAATCTTGTTAACAGATCCTTGGCGTCGGGCCCTAGGAAGTACGGCAAGACCAGCTTCTGTTTGACAATGTTGTTCTGAATCTTGGCGTGATTGCCGCCGCGGAAGGGTGGGTTACCCGTCATAAGGTCGTAACCCAGCGCACCGAACGACCACCAATCGACGGCCTTGCCGTATTTCTGACCCAAGACGACCTCGGGAGCCATGTATTCGACTGTTCCGAGTATAGACTTGCAGCTATCATCATCCACTGCTACCTTGGACAAGCCAAAGTCTGTCAGCAGGAGATGACCTTGCGCGTCTAAGAGGCAATTTTCTGGCTTCAAATCTCTATAAACTACACCGAGCGTATCGTGGAGATGGGATAGAGCCAGAACCATTTCTGCCATGTAGAAGGCGGCAACCGGCTCAGGGAACATCTTTTCGGTGTTGAGGTGAGTGAATAGTTCTCCACCCTGTCCATACTCAAGGATAAGATATAGCCTCTCTTGGTCCTGGAAAGCGTAAAATAACTTGACAACGAAGGGGTGTCTGTTGACAGACTCGAGTATTTGTCTTTCTGTCTTTGTCTGCTCGATAAGTTTCTTGTGCACGACAACAGAAGCCTTTTTGAACTGTTTCTGCGCGTAGAGCCGACCCGTAGCACGCTGCTTAACTAGTAAGACGGTCCCGTATGTGCCCTTTCCAAGACAACGCAATGTCTCGAAGTCGTCGGCCTGCATCTTTCGTGGCACTAGCCCACCTTCAATCGCACTGTATTTCTTCTCTTGCACGCTTTCACTCACGAAGTCATGCTCTAACGGGACTTCGTAACTGGTTGATCCGCCCTCTGAAATTTCGTCATCACTGCGGCCCATTTGGCTGGTGGCTCCGCTCATGCAGCGGCGACGACTATTGCTTCGAGTTCGAGCCATAGAACTGGAGCGAGAGTCGCATAAGCTAAGGGGCTCTAGCTGCATACGCAGCTTAGCGATGCCGCTGATGGCGGGAGAATTATGACCACGAAGTACGGGGCTGCAGTTGGCGCTGACAACGTCGTCGAGACGGGGGGTGCGGCCACGTCGCGCAGACAAAGGTGGCGTTTTGCAGTGGTCAGAATCATCGTCGCCGGACATTATTGGGGTGTGCGAGAACCCGCGAACGGTGCTACGAGCTGGAGCGGCGGGAGGTAACATGATGAAGTCTTGTATCCTTGATAATATTTAATTAATTGATTAAGTAATAAGTAATAAAATAGAGTCGTCCGTCGATGTGACTCTCTTAGCCCGCCCCTATTCAAGGTAGGCGGGAGCCACGTCGTCGCTCGGCGTCAGCGCGTGCTTCGCAAAGGTAATCGGGATGCGCTGGCTGAAGGGTCGGGGTGAGCATCTGGTTGCGGACTAATGACGAAGAGAAACTGTCGGAATCGTTTTGCTGATGCATTGGCAGTCGAATAGTTAATCGCGCGGAGGCGTCTTAGATCTGTTTGGTGTCAAAAATGGGTTCACCGTACGGTGGTGGTTGAGAAAAGTTGAAGAATTAAAAAAGAAAGAAGTGAGAGCCGAACAGGGCAAGTGTTTGTTAATAAGGCCACCACCCGCTCTAAGACAATGGAATTATGCGACTTCTCGCCTACAACAAGGTTTAGTTTTTTTTTTACAGGCGGGGGTGTAGCGAGCGGACCTCAATTTTCACAAGCCAACCAAATCTTTTCTATTTTCAGCTGTGCAGATTGGAAAGCCCCGTGCCAAGGGCGGCCAAGGAATAGTCAGGCTAAGCGGACACCAGGCCCCCAGTACGCCCTAGCACTCCACAGCACGCTCCTTCAGGCTGTTCAGGTGCCCCAACCATTAATCCACCCATGATACCACTAGGTAATCCATGTCCCGCGTTCCCGCGATTAGCCATTATAAGATGACTGTCAGGCACCATGCTTTTCGCTGCAACCTTTGCTAGGACATTCGAACCAATGGAGTGACCAAACCAAAGAACGCACACGGAACATTAATATATTTTGTACAGCGACTGTGTACACGTTTCGTAGAGAACTATCGCTATATAATCGTACATACTTTAATTATTTTGTTGTATTGCGCTGAGACAATATAAGAGTCAAGCAAGCAAAACTCGAGTCAAAGTTCCAGTACACTTAACTATGTACCTATATAACTAATACTGGCTTGGTGTACTCATCGTATGATAAAGAGGATTGCGGGTACATATTCGTTAATAGGTAAATGGAGACTCGTACTTGATATTACGGTTAACTACCTAAGGTAATAAGACGAGGGTAAAAAGTCACCTCAAGCACATCTGAGCTTAGGGAGGTAGATATTAAAGTATTGTATACCTAAGTTGTATACCTAAGGTACCCAACATATGGATGGAATGTAGGCCCGTAAGCTTCGGCTTGTCTGAGCCTGCTCCTACAGTGTCGGAACGCATGCTGGTTCTGCCAGTAGGGAACCTGCAGGAAAAGTCGGCATTGCTTGAAACGTAGCATTAGGATAGATCGGTATTACGATGTTGGATCAAACAAAGAGTCTCAACCCAAGTCCAGCGTTCTAGGGATAGTATTGACGTTTCCAACATAAAGAACAACCACCGTAGGCAAATACTATGTAGTATGTGAATCACCCTGCTCAATTTGCAAGGCTAAATATATAACTTATTTAATATGTAACCTGCTCTAAGTCAGCCTTGGAAAAAAAAAGGATGCGCCTATTGCATCGAAAATGTGATATTTTAAAGATCGTGAAGTGGATAAACTTGGGTAATATTTGGAATGTAAGCCAAAATTGGGAAGCGACTGCTGGTTGTCTTCTGACTTCTGACCTTTTGCCGTATTGTACAATACAAACGGATTAGGCTTGAAGCTTGGAGCTAAAATCTTGGAGCTTTGACCACTAGTAGCGTGCTGTCCCACTTTTATGTTCACCTTCAACGCGGCTTTGAAGAACTCGCAAAAAGTTACCAATCTACATGTGGATACATTTTTCTATAGGAAATCGAAACTCTTCAATTCTCGAAGCGATATATTATTATCAGGACGGTTCCGATTTCTCAAGGACGTACCCGCATTAGATCCAAGGCCAACATCTTGTGACCTATTGCCCATCATGATGCACCCGGCGCGACAGGCATATGTAGAGGAAGCAGAAGAGGTAAGTTTGCATATCCCATATCTTTTTCGTGCCGACGCTTGGTTAACGTCTTTTCTTCATTAGGATCGTGGTATGACCTTAGACGAGGTTCCCGTAGATCGCGACTATGATATTCCCTCCGCAGCCGCCGGCATTGCGCCGGAGAAAGCATCAGCTATATTGTCCCAGTTTGAGCGGAAGAGGCGAGCAGCGACAATGGCAGTACCTACAGATGACGGCCGAGTACGTGCTAGACTACGAGAACTTGGGGAGCCTATTACACTTTTTGGCGAAGGCCCGGCAGACCGACGGGATAGATTAAGGGAACTCTTGGCTCTACAGTCGGAACAAGCACCTACAGAATCACCGGATGTTGCTATGGAAGATGCGCCAGAAGAGGACCAGGAAGATCAAGAAGAGGAATTCTATACCACCGGTAGCGATGAATTGTTACGAGCGCGGCAAGAGATTGCCCGCTTCTCCCTGCCACGGGCGAAACAAAGGCTGTCTTTTCAAAAGCAGGAAGCATCTATACCTTTACGAACGCATGTCAAATTCCGCAAAGAGATCAAGGAGCGTCTACAAGCATTCGAATTACAAGGCAGTCAAACCGCAGGAGATAGGAACGTCAGTATGACGAGAATATCGCCTAATGGCGAGCTTGTTGCCGCTGGAAATTGGGGAGGCTCCATCAAGCTGATCGGAATACCGACGTTGGAGGAGAAGATGACATTACGGGGACATACCAACAGAGTTAGTGGTATCTCGTGGTTTCCTGGTGCAACACTTGCCGAAAGTAATGTTTCGCCGGAATCGGTTAATCTAGCTTCAGGAGGAGCTGAGGGCCAGGTAAACCTTTGGTCTTTAAACAAGGACACGCCGCTCTCAACGCTGGAAGGACACGGTCAACGAGTATGCCGAGTTGAGTTTCACCCTTCAGGGCGGTATCTCGCTTCAGCATCGGAAGACACTACGTGGCGCCTATGGGATGTTGAGTCGACGACGGAGTTATTACTACAAGAAGGCCACTCGAGAGGTGTCTTCGCTATCAGTTTTAATTCTGACGGTTCGCTACTTGCTAGTGCAGGTTTGGATAGCATTGGCAGAATATGGGACTTGAGGTCCGGAAGAACAGTCATGATTCTAGACGGACATGGAGACGGGCACATCAAACCTATCCATGGCATCGATTGGGGCTCAGATGGTTATCGAGTTTTGACCGGATCGGCAGACGGCTGGATCAAATGCTGGGACGTAAGGAAGGTCCAGAGGACCGGTGGTATTGGAGCCCATACCAGTGCAGTTTCGGACCTCAGATGGTACAAAGGGTTAGATGATCCTGTCCTGGGTACCCCTCCAGGCCTCGACGAGAAGGGAAACCAAATCCCTAAGAAGTCGAGCACGTTCTTCGTCTCCAGCGGATTTGACCGTAAGGTTAACGTCTTTTCTGCCGATGACTGGACTCTCATACAGACCTTAGAAGGACATACTGGGCCGGTTTCGAGTGTAGATATTAGCAGAGATGCGAGGTGGATCGTCAGTGGTGGACATGATAGAACAGTTAAGTTATGGGGTCGAAATGATGGAGAGGGAATTTAGTAAATTAATTTAGGGGAATGGTTGAGGACGGAAGGGAAATACAAGCAAAGCTCGGAAGATACCCAATAAAAATAATCTTGCTGTGTTAAGGAGAAAGACTCGAGATGGTAAATGGCGTAGTGTAATATGCAACTTTATGCAACTTGCTTTTCGAGAGCAAGATGCCATAGTATTGTACATACTGTGTATAAAGTATACTGCTACTGTGTCAGGTACCAACCCGGCAGTATATTATTAGGAGGTACCTACCTACCTACCTCATACCTGCCTACATAATCGAGAATTACATAGACCCACGCCTATGGGTTCAGTGACGAATCCGATAGAGAAGCAAGGGCGATCTTGATAGCAACCATTCAAATTACCATTTACCATCTCCATCTTGCCATCCTACCATCCAACTACCTATTTTATTTCTTTGTATTAGTTATTTCTTTTATTCCTACATTACGTAGGTACCTTCTAGCACAACCTTGACTTTAACTTAAAAATACAATAGTTGCAATAAGAAACTACCTAATAGAAGAGATGATTTCGTTAATCAACACTACCTAACTTAAAAAAAGGGTTCCTTTGGGTGACTTACCTAAGGTTGGAATCGCCGTGGGAAGTTTTGAAGCTTGCAATTGCTTCGCTCAACTCCCCACAATCCACAGGCCACGGGCCACAACGCAATGGCGAGCATCGATCGATACCGACCTCCTCAACGGGAATCATATCAATTTCCACCTGCACCTTCTAGCAAAACCAGTCTTAATAGTTCTTCGAAGTCGCCATCTAGAAGACGCGACATACCTCCTCCGGCTCCTTCACCACCTACGAACTCGTCGCGCACATCTCCTCCAAGACCACAGTCGCGACAACGCGCGCCATCTCCTACCCACTCAGCAGCAACTAGAACACCGCTCGCCATGTCGAATCAATGGTATTTTAGCCAGGACGAGGTCCTTAGCAGCCCTAGCATCTTGGATGGATTGTCGCCACAAGATGAGAGGTTAAGGCGAGCAAAAGGCGTTAACTTCATATATCAAGCTGGCATTCTGCTTGAACTTCCTCAGACTACCCTCTACGTTGCCGGCGTGTTCTTTCACCGATTCTTCATGAGATGCAGCATGGTTGAAGAAAAACACGGGATACATCACTACGTGAGTCTACCCATAAACCAAGCCAAACCACCCGACGAAAAAAGATATAACTAACCGTGTCTGGTATAGAATATCGCTGCGACTGCGCTCTTCTTAGCGAATAAGACGGAAGAAAACTGCCGCAAGACTAAAGACATCATTATCGCGGTTGCAAAAGTCGCACAGAAGAATGTTAAGCTCATCGTCGACGAGCAATCTAAGGAATACTGGCGATGGCGTGACAGCATCCTCATGTTTGAGGAAGTCATGCTCGAGAACTTAACCTTCGACCTCATGATTGAAAGCCCGCATTTTAAATTGTATGACTTCCTTGGTCAGCTGCAGTCAATTCACAACAAGAGCCTGCGACATGCCGCTTGGGCCTTCTTAAACGACTCGTGTCTAACCACCCTGCCACTTCTCATGGACGCGCGCGATATCGCCATCGCAGCTATCTTCTTCTCCAGCGTTTTTACTGGGGAGCGGATAGAAGACGTGAACGGCGAGCCATGGTGGAAGGCGCTAAATGGCAACGAGGATAACTGTGCCAAGGCAATACTTGTCCTCAAAGACTTCTACATCGAGAACCCCCTACGCAAGCAAGAGAATCCATATTCTCAATCTCCTGTCTTTATCCTCGATAGTACTCGAAGAAGAGGCGAGGACATCGATATACGTTCAACTAATGGCACCCCCAGAACCGATAGTGCTACTCAGAGCCCCAGGGGCAAAGTTAGCAGCGTTGACGAAGCGGCAGCAGAAAGAGAAGTTGATACGGCTGCTGCCGAGTCTGCCTCTCAGGCTGCCCCGGGTGATTCAGACGTTGTCTTAAAGGAAGCAGCGAATAATCCTGGTCTCCATCCAGGGACTAATGGTACTAAGAGGAAAGAAGTCGAGTCGCTCGCATCAGAGAGTCGGGACCCGAAACGGCAGCGTCTTAGCTCGGATGACGACGAGGGTGAGGTGTATGAATAGGGAACTACATCATCCCAGGACGACGAATCGGAAGGGGGTAATCAAGGGGAAAACAAACAGCCTAAGTCTGAATCCGAGTTCGAGTTTGAGCTTGTGTCTGAGTCTGCGGCCTTGGGTGCAGGTGAATCCGACCCGGGATATGCAGCATCGGAAGATGAATAACGTTTACGACGCATTTTTACGCGTTTTCGAATATCGTTAAACCCAGCTATTTTTCCAAGTCACTATATCACGAAACAGGCCTACCTATTCCGGTTCGGATTGCTACGCTTGGATAGCCGGCGCGATTTCGACCTCTACTACCACCGCCGAACCCGTAATATGATTTACGAACTGGTTAGGGTTATAGGGGTGAATCTGCCCGGCTAAGGGAGCAAAAGGCAATACGTTCGGGAATGCCTGGTTTGGTTCTTTTTTTTTCTTTTATTGTTTCCTACACGAGCCTTAAGGCTGCAAGCGGCGTTCTCGGCTCAAGGGCAACAGCGGAGTTAATCGCGGCACATTCTGACTTCTCTCGAGGCGAGGGGGCGGCGCGGTGCCGTTTTATTTTCTTCTTCTAGGTCGGGTCTGCGATACCTCTGTTACATTACGTTCTACGGTCAGGTTGTTGTACAGTAGAATGGACGCATAGGTGCATTGCATTGTGAAGGGGTTTGTAGCAGAGGTATCTATCTCCTTAGGGGGAAGGGGTAGCTAAGCGATAGCGGACTTTTTGATAGACGTCAAGCTATTGAATGCAAAGTCATAATTGCCGTCTTTCATCTTGTTCGAATGCTCGAGTTTATTGGTGCTATGCTTACAATGAGCTAGATCATTATAGAGCAATATCCGCTGTAATGGGTATCGATTCCTTCCGAAAAATAAATTTGTACATGTACCTGTCTATGTCTATCCTCTTATACCACCCAAATATTCAAGTAAATCGTACAACGCCGCCTTTCCCTCCACGTTGACTCTTGATCTCGTCTATATAGTCAATAACGTCGATCCAGTTGCTTATCTCGTTGAGACGTATGCGTTCCTTCTTCGACAGCAGGGCGGCGTTGCGGTCGGGGCCGAAGCCCGGCCCGCACATCTCGTTCAAATGGTGTATAGCCAGTTTAAGGGGCAACGGCGCTCGTGCCACGTTGTTCATAAATACGTCGACAGCCTCCCAGGGACATGCGTCGTACCCAGCGAAGAGCGCCGGGTTTGCGAGGAGTGCGCGCGCGGACATGAGGCCGGATAGGTTTGGCAAGTGGAGCTTCGGCTTGGAGGAGTCGTTGCCCGTCGTATCGGGGGACGAATGGCTGGAGGTGGTGAAGGTGGGCTGGGGGTCTAGGAGGTGAGAAGTATATGGGAGCGTAGACAAGGTAAAAACGTCGCCGGATACGAGGATTGGTAGCTTCGTGCCGAACATAGACGTGAGCGTCTCGAGCGCCTCGACGTTGATAGGGATACTGCTAGGGGTGCTGCGCGTGCGCGGGTGGATGGTAAGCCAGTCGATATTTCGGTGGTGCTCGTCGCCTAAGACGGTGGTGATGAAATCCACCGTCTGTCGCAGGTCCTTATGCACTCGAATCTTAACGCTGACACTACGGCCTACACGACCGCCAACATCATCGGAGTCGGCACCAGCAAAGCTGTCTACATCCCACCCGTCGCGCGCGAGCCGCTCCCTCGTCGCAACCACCATGTCGCGCACCAGCTCGCGGCGGCCCATCAGCGCAGCACCCAGGGTCTCGGCGCAAGCCCAGCTCTGCGGACACCCGCAGTTCAGATCGACGCCGTTGACGAAGGGGGCGGCGAGGGAGGCGGCGCGCGACAGCTCGACGGGGTCGTTGGCGCCGAACTGGGCTATGGTCGGGACCTCGTCGTGCGCGGCGGCGGTCGTCGAGACGGTCAGGTCGCTGTCGCGCGCCACGCGGCTCCGGTTGAACTCCTTGGCTAGGATCATGGGCGTCCAGCATAGGTCGGTGCCGAAGTGGTGCACCGTCTGCCGGAAGGCGAGCTTGCTGTACCGGACCATGGGCGCGCAGGCGTATAGTAGCCGCTTCTGGGATCTGGCTGCGTCGAAGAGCTTGAGGGGACTGGGGGATGCAATGTTAGATGGGATATGTAGGGCTGGGACAAGCTTGGGCGTACTGGATTTTGGGCTGGAGGAGCCGAGCTGCGGTTTCTTCTGAGTCCATCTTGGTCACCTGCGTACGCGTTGGGATTTGAGGTGGAACATGGCGTTATTATTATTTGGCTTGGAGCTGGTATGTTAGAGTCGGAAATTACATCATGGCCCGCTGCTTTATGAACTGGACTTCCATTCTGAAGCTTGGAAATATAGAAGATAAAAGAGATGTGATCTTGGTGGGATGGTGGGGTGGTGGGGTGGTGGGATCGAGGGATCGAGGTGTGGATCCCGTAGTACGTAACAGTGACTTGAGCAAGAATTGCTTTTAACCAGCAAACCGATCAACGTAACCAAGCATTAAAGCATTAAAACGTTATAAGCCAAGATCGTAACCGTACAACCCAAATTGAAAGTATTTAAAAAGATATAAAAACCCAAAAAGCAAAGCATACATACGGCAAGATAGGTACTCGTTAAAATTATACAAGGGATACAAGGGAAGACACGGGGGAGGATACGGGGCAAGAATCGTAAAAAACGCTATAATACAAACACGCCTAGCAATCAAGCATCAAGCATTATGGTATTGATAGATTAAAAATTAAGAACAAACCTGAAGAAAAAAAGCCGAGTAATATGGATCCCATAACTACAATGACTCAGGCGCTCATACGATAATTTAAAGAGTTATTTATTACCTATGTCGTCGGCATATATAAACAACAGCTAGATCTTAATCCTGTAGTTAACCACGATCTCAACAATACATACAACAACGATATTACCATTCTAAGAATCACAGAGGGGTTCACAGAGGGGTAGCAAGCTAAAATATGCAATTAATGCAATTAAACCCTTGCAATAATTCTATATTTTAGATTTGGCCCCGCTATCATCAATAATTTCTACTCCTTGGAGGGGTTTTCCATTCATCACTTATAAGTAGGTACTTATAAGTGACGCTTAATCATCCCAATACCTTATATCTTCTCTTATTATAATGGCAGTAAAGAACCCTGTCATTGGGCTTCTAGGGGGTGGCCAGCTTGGACGTATGCTCTGCGAAGCGGCCGGGCCCTTAGATATACCCATTGCTATCCTCGACGCTGAAGATTGCCCGGCAAAACAGATAAACCGCAACAGCCTCCACGTTACTGGATCTTTCAAGGACCCGGACAAGATCAAGCTCCTCGCCTCCCGTGTTGACTTCCTCACGGTTGAGATCGAGCATGTGGAGACAGAGGTGCTGGAAGAGATAGCAACGAAAGGCGTAGAAGTGCCTTCGCCTGACGGGAACGGTACAGTATTGAAGAAAGTACCCGTGCATCCGTCATGGAAGACCATACGTCTAATCCAGGACAAGTTTCAGCAGAAGGAATACTTCATTCAAAACGGTATTCCCGTTGCTGAACAGATGGCTATAGAGTCCGGAGAGGGTAAGGCCGATTCTTTGGATGAGGCAGCTTGGAAATTTGGGTTCCCTTTCATGTTAAAGGGCAGTAAAGGTTCGTACGATGGCCGTGGAAACTTCAAGGTCAACGGTCCGGAAGACCTGAAGAACGCCACAGAGCAGATGGGAGACCAGCCGTTATATGCAGAGAAGTGGGTGCCTTTCGAAATGGAACTCTCAGTCATGGTATTACGGACAGAGGATGACGACGGCAACTTGAAGCATGTTCACCCTTATCCAGTCGTCGAGACCATACACGAAGATAGCATATGCACCAAGGTGTTCTATCCGCCACGGAGAATATCGGACGACGTCAAAAAGCGAGCGCAAAAGGTAGCAAGCGATGTTATAGCCAGCCTTTGGGGTCGAGGAGTCTTCGCGGTAGAAATGTTCTTACTCGCTGACGGCCACATTCTGGTGAACGAAGTTGCTCCTCGCCCGCATAACTCCGGTCATTTTACTAGTATGTATTTCCCACTCGTTATTCGCCCCTATCTTCCGCCTTTTCTTCTCTAGGGCTTTCCTAACGAGTAGCTGCTAACTGTGAACCTTATAGTCGAGGCCGTACCTCAAATGTCGCAATATAAGGCTCAACTATACTCCATACTGGATCTTATCCCGCAGAAAGGCGCAAATCTCAACGCGCGAGTGCCTTCCGCGATTATGCTTAATATCCTAGGCGGTGCTCAACCAATTTCTCACAATAGATTCGTGAAGCTTGCGGAGAGCGCATATGATGAATTCATGGATGTATACATACATCTCTACGGGAAGGAATCGAAGCCGGGACGGAAAATTGGTCATATAACCATCACGGGGTTCTCTTCCGTTGAACGTCTAGCTGAGAACATAGCCCCTCTCATCGGTGTTATGGATGAGATTCGAGCTGAACGCATTGGCTCGAAGAGCCCAGCACAAACAAAAAAGTCACGAGAGAAGCCCGTGCCTCTAGTCGCTGTGACTATGGGATCCGATTCGGATTTGACCACTATGACAGCCGGGTTGAAGATTCTAGATGAGTTCAATGTGCCTTACGAAGTCCGCATAACATCGGCGCATCGAACACCTCACCACATGATGGAATTCGCAGCTGAAATGTCCAAGTCATGCTGCAAGGTTATCATTGCTGCAGCAGGTTAGTACCTCAAGTTTTTCCCCCTGTTTATTATAACCCATCCTCAACGCGTGAAACATGCCTTACTAATATTGGAAATCAGGGGGCGCTGCACACTTGCCGGGTATGCTCGCATCTGAGGTGCATATTCCAGTAATAGGCGTTCCCGTGAAGGCATCGGTGCTAGATGGTGTCGACAGTTTACACAGCATCGTACAGATGCCGAGGGGCATACCCTGCGCTACAGTCGGAATCGGGAACTCAACCAACGCCGCGCTGCTCGCGATCCGGATTTTAGGTGGCGCGTACCCAGAATATGCAGAACGCATGAAACGCTACCAGGAAGATATGAAAAACGAGGTGCTAGCTAAGGACGAGAGGATACAATCTGTGGGCTGGCAGCAATATCTACAGGGGATGCAGAAAAAAGAGCTACCGGTACCTACACTATAGATTCCCTATGACGGCCCAATGTGGACCTCTTAACTCCGTCGGCATAAAATCACCCCATACGTAGGTAGTCGGATTCACGGGGATTATGATCAAGTATATTACTACCTCACATTATATATGTAGTATACACTTGAGACTCAGCTACTGACTGGGCTTCAAAACTAAGCGCAGAACTTAAAATATTCCCAAACAACGAAGATAACCTAACGATGATGTTATAAAGAATCAAACTAGGTATTCGATCCTCGTACGCCCTGGATCATTTGAACAATAAGATGTTTGAGAAGAGTATTCTGCGTAATGCTATGGGTATATTAACATTACGTGATTATATTGAAAATTCATATAAACTATCATAACTATGGTTATGGCTGAGCCGTAACGGATCTGTAGTTCTCCGGTTCCCGTCAATAATAACTTCCTGTTAAAACCCGTGAGCGGGGCCCGGTATGCTTAACGCCGGACAAGTTGACAAGACGTGCTCAAGCATTCGGGATAGACTCACATTGATATACCTACCTTCTAGTATAAAACGGGTTAATAGGAGCTTTATAAATTTGAGGCTGAGTATTCCGTAATATTTTAGTAATAGGTCGATAGCTGTGTAAAGGCACCGTATGTAATAATGATGAATAATCTGACTTTCTGTTAAAAGCCGTATGGACTATCGTGGTGATGCTATACTACATACAGTCACCGCGTGTGGCCGGGGTGCGTGATCTTCGGTATGATCTATATGACTAACTTGGCAAACTAGAACACATTACGGAAGTTGATTATCTACAAAAAGGCGTGGTTTAATCTACTCTCGCTCTAGAGCAAGGGGCTAGGCTAGAATTGTCGGGGTTTTGCCTGTGGAGGTATTAGAAACCCGAGATGCTAAAGCCGTCCCGCAAAACCCGTACAGTTGGCGTAGCATGCACGCGCCAACACTTACCAACATGAATCTATTCAATGTCCTGAAGACGGGTACATTTAGCATAAAAGGCCCCTTCGCCTCAACGACTCAACGAGATTTGAATTACATCGAACTCCCGAACCTTCACAGTTGACCTGCAAGCTCTTGAAAGACTTATCGGCATCCCCTCAAAGAATAAAAGAAAGAACAGACGAAACAGCAAACATGCCTACTCTAGTTGGAAAAGAAGTCGGACCTACGGGGTATGGGCTGATGGGCCTGACCTGGAGGGCGGATCCTATCTCAGACGAGAAGGCTTTCGAAGCGTTGAAGGCCGCGCTGAACAACGGGATGAACTTCTGGAACGGCGGCGAGTTCTACGGACCGCCCGAGCGGAATTCTCTCGTACTACTGGAGCGCTACTTCGCGAAGTACCCCGAGGACGCCGAGAAGGTCGTGCTCAGTATCAAAGGCGGCATGGATCCCAACGGACTTGGACCTGATGGTTCGCCGGAGGGCACTCGTCGGTCTATCGACAACTGCATTGCTCAACTGAAGGGCCGCAAGAAGATCGACATCTTCGAGTTTGCGCGCCGCGACCCCAAGGTGCCTTTAAGTGTGACCTTTGGGGTTATCGAGAAGGAGTGTAAGTCCTCGACCTCTTTTTGTCTTTTGCTACTACCCCTGTACGCATTCAGAATTCTTAAAGACATAATACTGACATGTCCTAGACATCCAAACGGGCAAGGTCGGAGGCATCTCGCTCTCTGAGGTCAGGGCCGAGACGATCCACGAGGCCGTGAAAGTAACGAAAATCGTGGGGGTCGAGGTCGAACTCTCGCTGTAAGTACATACTACCGAAATTACCAAGACGTTTCCCCAAAACGTAGCAGAAACGGCGAGCTAATAGACCCATGAAGATTCAGCAGGGAGATCCTCGACAACGGTGTAGCCGACGCGTGCGCACAGTACGACATCCCGATCATCGCTTACTCGCCCGTCGGCCGAGGTTTCTTGACCGGCCAGATCAAGTCGCTGGAGGACGTGAAGCCGGAGCTGCGGTCGTGGCCGTGGTTCCAACCGGGCAATTTCGAGGTCAACCTGCAGCTGGCGTCGCAGGTCGAGGAGCTGGCCAAGAAGAAGGGCGTAACTCCAGCCCAGCTAGCTATCAGCTGGACCATACGCCTGTCGTCCTGGCGCAAGGGCGCTCCTAAGACCATCATCCCGATCCCCGGTGCTACGACGGTGGCCCGCATCGACGAGAACGCTGTGCAAGTCGATATCTCGGACGAGGAGATGGCTCAGATCGATGCTACGCTGTCCAAAGTCAAGCCTAGCGGTGGTCGGTACCCGGACGTTGTCCCTGTTAACACGTAAATTCAGAAGGGCTGGGCGGAACAGGATTTGGAACATTGATGGATGGTGTTGGTGCTCATGCCAGATGATATCAGATACTGTTATTTGCAGCGTTAAACGCTAAATTACAAACACCGCTTCGTCACATATTATATTGGCTATCGAATGTTTGTACATGTCTACTACTATATATATAGACCATAACACCAGGTATACTGCTGTCGATTTAACAAAGGCCATACTGGCTGTGTTCTAGTAGTGTATTCAACTTGTACATTTACCCTTGCGTATCGATGTTCGAGTAGATTGACTTTAGATGCGAGGGTTCGATTCCCTCGGTGGCTATGTATATATATTGTTTCTCGTTCCTTCTCCTACTATTTTATTCACGCCCATTGCCATTGCACGTCCTTGGAGAGCACCCCAATGGTTTGTTTTATTGAAATAGAGATCTACACCTCCCAGGGCTTAACCGTCACTTCGTTCGATTTATCTTTGTATACCTATGTATCTCAAAATTCTCGCCTGCCAATAACTCAGCACCTATTTTCATGGTTAGCTTACTAACGTTATAGGAATAGGACTTATATGTTGACGGGCACCACTATCAGGGCAAGAAGGTCTCCACAGATTGGCAAGCCTGGAGAGGCCGCTGTTAAGCATTGCAGAATTCTTGGTATTGCTCATCACTTAGTGGTTAAGGAAAGAGGCAAAGTCAGACGACTTTAAGAATGCACTTACGTTAGAAGGAATGCGAGTTGGCAGTTGGTAAGTATCCTAGATAAGTTAGGTCAAGATACTCGTCAATGATGAACCATAAACAGGAACCAACGCAGCAATATTGGCCTGTTTGCTCTCTGTTGCCAGAGCTGGCATCGAGTATGGCATGTTTTACATATCGAGCAGCTCGTAGTGAATTATGACTTGCTTAATTCGCTGACAGAAGGGACTCATACAAAAATCATGAGAAGAGGTCGAACTTGAAGCAATGTGAAAATTGCTGTGAAAATTCCCAAGTTTTCAAGTAAATATGGGGCTAATGCGTCGACTCCACAGGCCAATGAGCGAGCTCGGAAATTTATTATATAAACTCCTCTTTTAAAGCAATAACTATCTAATTGTACCTATAGTAAGGAGGTACTTATGTATTTTACCTGTTTATGGAATAGTATAGATTTAAATCTCCACTCTCCCCTCGTGAAACATGAAACCGTGTAAATATCGAGTCGCAAAAGCCTTGAACCAATCTTGCATTTACTGGTACGATATTATTAGTGCGTCCAAGCGATCCGTCCGTTCCAATGCGTCGGGAGTTCCGCTGGTTTCCATTTTAGGCTTCTTTTCCATGCCTGGATCTTCCACATAGGTCCCATCGATAAACAGCGATGCGAGATGGGCATTGCCAATAGTGCAGATTGATCACCATAATGTTGATGATGGGTCTCGTGAGCTTTGTTGTCGCACATCTTTTCTGTCTACATGGTAACTACACTACATAAGGTATGTGACAGTGGTCCCCCTTACTTAGGTACACATGTAGTACCTAGAATAGTAACTGTACGTGCCATATTATAGATTACTTGCATTTACCTACAATTAAAGATGGACCTTGCCGTCTCTGCATGTCGCATTGAAACGTGACAAAGGGGTCAATAGCATATCTCGTCGTCCTATTGCACGTCTGTTTCCTACCCCTACATTAGTTGTTCACAATCACAGCCATCGTGGGAATTCTGCAAATTTTGAGGATCCTAGCTTACTGCATGCATGAATGCGGAAGCTCGTTCCTTGGGCTGATGGAATGAATAACCCCAGTTTATTCATTTTGCTATGCATGGAGCTTTTACCAAGCACACTTTAGCCTACTTGTCTACATATGTACCTACCCACATGAGGTAATCTTCGTCCTACCTCTATGTATGTAAATATCTACTTATAAGGTAGGTAGTACCTACCATAAATAATGTGAGCGTTCTTTTCCATGCCTTTCCGGCTTTTGTTAAATCGCTTATCTGGCAGTCCAAAGCCGGCAGGTGCAATGCCGGCTTACGCTAACAAAATTTAGGGTCTGGGTGATCCGAGAACCAAAAGGAGGCTTCGTCATTTCAGGTGTCTCCACCGTGTTAAACAGCCAATTAATCAACTAGGACCACCCCAGAGCTAGCTTGGCTTCTGATCAGGTACGGCTGTACAATACGGGGCAGCATTAAGCGTCCAATTAAATTAGTTGCGCTAATATACGTGAAGTACCTACATACCTATGTACCAGGTTGAACCCAATGGTCTCGCGCTCCTTTGCTTGCACTTCGAGTTACAATTGCCCTCCAAGGCACCCGACGAGAACACCGGTGCGACTACGATTTTGATCAGGGAAGAGGACACTCGAATCGATCGACGTTGACATCGACATCGAAATCACCACCATCACCATCATCATCGGCGTATTCTGAACACGGGGCGAAGAACACGGCAGTTAATACTTCTGGATATTGGGATTGGACAGAATATTGATATTTGTCAAGCCGCCGCCTTCGAACAATAGATGCTCGAAAATTCGTACTAATACCTAATACTTATCTCTTCGAATACTCTCGACGGTATCTGTGCCTAAGGTTTCGCGGGTTCTCAATTACTTGTCCGAACGAACCTTACTCTGAACTGGCTTACATGTGATTCGATACCCGTCGCAACCTAATATCGCTTGATTTACTCGCGAGTCCTACATACAAATTTACGAATTTACACGAGCCCTTTTTTTTCTTTGGGGGTACTTTGGATACACCGGTATCAACCTAATTGATACGCTCGCATCTGCCCGCGAAAGGCGGTGCGGCTAATTGCAGTCTGCAGGCTGTCTTAATCTGTCACCTGCTTCTGTTAGACTCTAGTCATCACCTCGCAAAGTTTTTCGCGAATACTCTTCGTTGATACTCTGCGCGAACGACAAACCTCTACGATATCTAATACCATAATTAACCGGCCCCATGTCGCCAACGCGAATAGCTACTACTCCGCCAGCCCAGGCCCAGGCCTCGGGAGCAGGATCCGGCTCTATGTCTTATCCACCTCTGCCAGCGTCGCCTACGCTGACGAACCCAGATATGATATTACCAGATTACGAAGATACCTATTCTTCCCCGGATAGATCACAATCGCCTTTGACTATGTGGAAGAATACACAAGTCGCCAGTATGAGCTTTGATCTTACTCCTCAAGCCTTCGCGGGGCCCGTCACCCCTACTACCCCCATCATATACGGAAATGGGACGATGCTGTCGGATATTGGTGAGGTCACAGAGGTTGAGAGTACCTGTCCTCCGAATAAGACACGGTCCGGGTCTACGCGTAGTGACGACTCGATACAACCGGCATCCATGATGCGTTACGAGACGCTGAAGAAGAAGGATTCGAAACTTTCTCGCGAAAGGCGAGCATCAATGGACTCGACGAGTACCATCACCACTCGCGAGCAAGCTGCACTATTTGCCGACTTTGACGATACTGTCAGTGTCGACGACAGCAACTTTCAAGGTGATGACGAAGAAAGCGTTGCCGATTCTTTCATCGACGACGCATCCGTTCAGGGATATGTCTTACCAAGTAGTGAGGTCCGGGCTAGAATTGGAGAGGAGCGCTACTCAACTGCGCTGAGTCGAAGAGCGGAGCAGATTTTAGCAAATGCTAAACGACGATTGACGGTGAGTATCCTTGAATTATAGTTTATCTTCTTGTTTATCTGACGCATAATAGACCATGGAAGGAAATTTGAACCGGGCACGCACCCTCCACTCTCCTACCATATCCACTGATTCAGGTTCAACAGCTTCACCAACCATGTCTCGGCCTACAACTGCAATCCACCGCGATCACGATTCCACTCTCCGCAAGAGTGGGCATGGACACACGAGGGTATCTAGCGAGAACAATATCCCTACCCTTCCGCTCGATGTGATTAAGCCGGGTGTATTTGTGCCGAGATCTTCGAGTGCCTTAGGTGCAGCAGGTGGATATCGACCACCTCTCCACAGCCCTCGTAGCGCGGATTACATCAATGAGGGTGCTAAATCATCTTTCTACGCTAAGGAGTCTATCCTCGAACCGTTAAGCGAGGATGATGCCTCGCAAGAGGTAGATTCATCAAGACCGAGTTTGGAGGGTTCGAGGTTGGATACGTTTCTAAGTCCGACTTTTGGGTCTTATACAGACAAAGGGCTAAGGCGATCTGCGTCAACAGCACAGATGCGAGATCTAAAAGACCAAATGAAAGATCTCAAAGGAAGACTGTCCACGTTAAGAGACCAAGCCCGAGCGGATAGCTTAAAGCGTCGAAGTATCCAAAACATGCGAACACCTAGTCCTTTCACGCATGCTCGGGTTGACCAGTGGTATGCTGATACGGCACAATATGAGGACGACGGTTCTATACATAGCGGTCATCAGTCGCAGAAATCGAATGATGATGTTTCAACTATCAATATTAACGAGGGCCGTTTGGCAGCAAAACGTATAGTACTCGAGACTGATGAAGCGCAGGCCCGGAAGGACATCTCCACAGAAGAAATCGTTCCAGTACAGTCAAAGGGTGTCAAAAGTAACTCTCATTCACCTGAAAATAGCGACCCATTAATAATCAGCCAAGTAGACGATGACCTTGATATGAAAACAGAGGATGGTTACGATGACAGTGATGGGGCAGAGAAAGAAGAGGAACAGCAGGAACAAGTGGAGCTAGAAGAGGAGAACGAGCAGGACCTGATAGATGATACTGCAAGCGAGAGTGGCGCGTCTTCGTATTACGATTCCGTCCAAAACCAGGTTTCTCATGAGGATCGTGAGGATGCTTTCGACTATGAGCATTTCTTCCTGCACAGTGCGATGGGTACTATGAGCCAAAGTAGGTTGAGAAGCAAGGGCAGCCGCGAGAGCTTTAGCTCCGAAGACTCGGTAGAGACGACCCGAGGACCAGTTGCATCCAGCAACATGACATCTTCCAGTAGGATTGGAAGACATTCTCGCAGGGGGAGTACCGGCTCGATCTCATCCTTTGACTCGTTTGCAACAGCTACAGAGGGTCGGAGTACGAGGACAGAACATTTTGTGGAGGTCTACGGCGAGTACGGTGTCATAGTACCCAAACGTGCTCGAACGCATACGCCAGATACGGCGAAACGAGCTGGTTTTTCCACCGAGACCAGCGATTCTAGCTCCGATAAAAGTCGATTTAGACACTCGGGCATCCGACGACCGCAGAGTAGCGCAGCAGAATTCATGCATCGCCCTTCGGCATCGTCGTTAGACTCGAATAAGACACATAGGAGCTTCCCTCTGGTGGATAAGCCGAAGGTTAACGGTGGCATGTTAACACCACGAGAATCGCCGGATAGGGAATTGAAGCAAATCTCGGAAGTTATTATGGACGAGAGCGCCTCCGGCAGCCAGAGCGGAGATAGTAGAGC